AGCTCAGACCGTGGTGCAGTTGGGGGGAGTCTCAGCCAGCCGGGATTGTTTCAGGGTAAAGGCTGCCACAGGTGAGTCCATTGTGGGTTGGACAGGATGAGCCCTTTTACGCCTGCCTGGTCCGACACTGCCCACAGCTGCCAGGGAGGTGTGTGGCCTTGGCTCACAGCCTGAAGCAAATCCTGTAGGCACTGTTGCTGGGGGTGGGGGCTGGGGGCTCTGCACCCGCTGTCTCTGGAGGGAGGTCTGAGCAGCCCCACATTGCTGCCCTGTAACCATGCATCTGGCACATGGGACACCCACCGGGAGCAGACCAGACCCATCCTACTTCTAGGAGCCCCGTCTAGAGCTTGCCCCGGGGGCAGAGAGCTGGGAAGCACAGGCAGGGAAGGCGGCCGGTCTGAACTCTGGAAGCGTCTGACCGGGAGCTTCTGCTGCGGTGGAAGCATCTGCTGACAACCCTCTCTGCCTGCCCAGTGGGCTTGCTGGCCCTTCCCGGCTCTGCCCCTGCCTTGTCCCGGGGAATCTGAGCTCTGCCAGGTTTCCATGGCTGCAGCATCTCCGCCCTGGAATTCGATAGTCCAGCACACGCGGTGGGGGAGTGGGAGAAGGTCAGGTCTCCTGTCAGCAGGCGTGGAGGGAGGTCACATCTGAATGCGCTCCGCTGGAATTCTAACTCAGCGTGTACGGGGAGCACACAGAAGGTTCCAAAACCCTTTGCGTGGGGCCTTCAGACACAGAGTGGCAGTGGGGACCCCAGAGCGAGGGTGTCCTGCTGAGGGCTGACCGTGTTGGTGGTGCCTGCCCACCCCGATTTTGCAGAAGTGGGGGGGCCTGGCTTGGAGGGGTAATGTGTCCAGGGTCACCCGAGGCCAGCCCGGCCTCTTCCTGCTCCTGTGACACTTGCGCCTCCCCAGCCCCTGTGCCAGCTCCTCAGCTGGAAGCTTCCAGATCTGCATCCCCCAGGCGTCCCGTTGGGTCTTCGGTGAGCACCCCACCATGCTTCTCCCACAGCCGTCACACCTCTAACAGGAGCCCGCAGCAGAGCAATTTGACATTTTGGGAAAGAGAAAATGAGCATCAGAGACGCACTTGGCGGTGGAGCCGAGGGTCTGGGCCAGCCCTTGTGGAGATGCTCCTCCCTCGTGGTCAGGAGCAGGCTTGAGCCCACCTGGGTCTGGGCATGCTTTGCTGGGTGAGGAACAGGGTGGAACAGAGCCCCCAGGCTCTCCTCTGTGAAGGAGACCCCTGTAGACGCCGGTCCCCAGCGCGGCCATGGATTGTGTGTACAGAGGCGGCTGCTCCTCCACCCAAGCTCTGCTCCAGGCAGGCAGGGATCTGTGGGACTAGCTGTTCTGTTTCCCCAGAGCCGCAGGGCCTGGTCCACCACAGGAGTTCTGACCTATTTATTCAATGAATGAAGCAGTGCATGAATGAATGCATGACACTTTGTGCAGTCCCTGGTGTGGGTGCTTCCAGCCCGCTCCCTCTCACAGCCATTGGAGGGGTTGTCATTACTTGGCCTTCGGCATCCTCAGCATGGAAATGAGGTGGACGTAAGACGTATCACAAGGTTGCCACAAACCTGCTTTGAGCTATGATGGCAGCGCCGAGGCCGCTGCTTTTGGGGACACCCCAGAACTCGAGTACCCCACTGTGGTCATCCTGGGGCCACCAGGGCTGCACCCGTCTCCCCCGTCCTCACCCTGTGGGTCCTCTTCCCAGCTGGCCTCAGGCCAGCGCCGTCACCAGCACAGCCCAGAAGTCATTTGTGGGCAGTGCCTGAGCCAGGAAATGACCAGGTCATATTTGTGGAGGACAAGCTTTTTCCTCCTTACCCCAAACCAGAGCCTGTGGCAGGGAGAAGGACAGAGGCAGCCCACCCTGACCTCACCCCTCCAACACCCTCTGCTTCTCCTGTGACCCGGCCACCTGGTGCACATCCATTCCCTGGGGTGCGTAGCAAACTCTTATACGGACATCAGAACCCAGCAGGCACCCCTCCACTCAGGGTAGGGACTAGGTCTTCTCTCTCTAGCAAGGGGAGGGTGTGATTTATCCAGGGACAGAATCGCCGTTTTAGTGATGAGGAAACTGAGGCCACACCTAGAGCAACAAGTCTCCAAGTCGCATAAACCCTGGAAGCTGGTGCTGGAATTTGGGGCCCCTAATTGCAGGCTTGCTGTGGCCCCTTCCCAACCATGCTGCTTGGTTGTAGGTGCCAACTGGCCAGGCCGTGGTCCCCCTGATCCCATCGCGTGTCTAGAGGTTTCGTGCTGGTGTTTTGCGATGTGGCGCGCATCGGCAGGCAGCTGACTTTAGGGAGAGGAGACGGCCCGGCGTAGTGTGGGACGGCCTCATCAGTTTACCCATTCAAATGTGAATTCCAGCCAGGGGCACCTCCCAGACACAGCCAGAGTCATGCTGGACCAAATATCTGGGCACCTTGTGGCCCAATCAAGTTGACACATAAAATTAGCCACATCACTCACAAACCCAAATTGAGAGCTGCCACAGCTGCCGTGAGCCTCACTCTGAAGTGTTGCCTCAGTTTCCCTGGCTGCACAGCAAACGGCGCACTGTGTGACTCTAGCACAGGCCCCAGCATCCCCAGGCTCAGCAAACAGCAGGAAGAATGCCCCAACAGTGAGAGCCGAGGCTGGGGTCACAGCAAACCACAGGCACGGACCCGGCTTGGACAGCCACAGCGCTCCCCTAGGCTCTCCTGTTCTGCGTGGCCTGGGCTTGTCCAGCTGTCTCTGTGTGTGTCGTATCTGTGGGTGTATGTGTGTGTCTGCGTGTGTGTGTACATGTGCATTTGTGTGTGTCATGTCTTGTGGAGGGTGTGTGTGTGCATGTGTGTGATGCATGGATGTGTGAGCGTCTGTGTCTCCGCATGTGTCTCTGGGTGTGCATGTGTTTGTGAGTGGGTGTTATGTCTGTGGAGGATGTGTGTGTGCATGTATGTGATGCATGGATGTCTGTGTCTGTATTTCTGCATGTGTCTCTTTGCATGTGTGTTTGTGAGTGTGTGTTATGTCTGTGGAGGGTGTGTGTGTGTGCATGTGTGTGATGTGTGGATGTGTGTGTCCTGTGTGTGTTTCTGTGTGTGTGCCTGGGTATATCATGAGTGTATATCATGTCTGTGGAGGGTGTGTGTGTGCACATATGAGGCCTGGATGTGTGTGTGTCTCTGCATGTGTCTCTGTGTGTATGCATGTGTGTTTGTGTGTGTCATGTCTGTGGAGGGTATGTGTGTGCATGTGTGTGATGTGTGTGTGTGTTTTTGTGTGTATCTCTGCACGTGTGTGTGCATGTGTGTTTGTGAGTGTCATGTCTGTGACGGTGTGTGTGTGCGTGTGTGTGATGTGTGGATGTGTGGGTGTCTCTGTGCATCTCTGCATGTGTCTCTGTATGTGCATGTGTGTTTGTGAGCGTATATCGTGTCTGTGAAGTATGTATGCACGTGTAATGTATGGATGTGTCTCTGTGTGTGTGTGAATGTGTCATGTCTGTGGGTGTGTGTGTACATGTGTGATGCGTGGATGTGTGTGTGCATGTGAGTGTGTCTGTGGAGGGTGTAAGTGTGTGCACATGTAGTGCCCGGATGTGTGTGTCTGTGTGTGTGTTGTGTCTAAAGAGTGTGTGTATACATGTGTGATGTGTGGATGCGTGTGTGTGTGTCGTGTCTGTGGAGGGTGTATGTGAGTATGTGCACATGTGATGTGTGGATGTGTGTCTGTGTGTGTGCATGTGTATGAGTGTGTTTTGTCTAAGGGGTGTGTGTATACATGTGTGGTGCATGCATGTGTGTGTGTCTGTGTGTGTGCATGTGGGTGTGTGTCATGTCTGTGGAGGATGTGTGTGTATGTGTGTGCACATGTGATGCGTAGATGTGTGTATGTGCATGTGTGTGTGTCATGTCTGTGGATGGTGTATGTATGTGAGTGTGTGCACATGTGGTGCATGGATGTGTGTGTCCATGTGTGTACGTGTGTGTATGTGTATACATGTGTGATGCATGCATGTGTGTGTGTCTGTCTGTGCCTGTGTGTGTGTCATGTCTGTGGAGGGTGTGTTTATGTGTGTTCACATGTGTGTGCATGTGTGTGTCATGTCTGTGGAGGGTGTGTGTGAGTGTGTGCACGTGTGATGCATGGATGTGTGTGTGTGTGTCTCTGTGTGTCAATGTGTGAATGCACACAGCTGGGATTAGGTTGGAACGACTCATCTGGAGCCCTAAGCTTACCTTGAATTCAGAGTTGGTTATTTTGACCCAAACTTGAACTCCACGTTTTCCAGTTCACAGGCCTTGTTTTTTCTTTTTTTTAAAGTAGTTTCCTGACTTTGATCAAAAGCAAGCCAACCAACAACTGGGAAGAAAGAATGAGGAAGGGCTCCGGGCAGCCTGGGCCAGCGCGAATCAGAAATGGACGCCGCGCGAGGCCCTCCAGTCACACGTGGGCT